AGGTTGAGATCTGAGGATCAAGGTTCAAAGCCAGCCCCAGGCGGGAGAGACTGCAAGACTCTAATCTCCCAATTAACCACCAGAAAATCAGAAGGAGAACTGTGGCTCTTAAGTGACAGAGCACTAGCCTTGAGCAAAAGAGCTCAGGGATAGCACCCAGACTTTGAGTTCAAGCCTCATGAGACTTTTTTAAAAAAAAGTATTTAGGATAGAGGTGGAGAGAATAATAATTCCCTTCTGCAGAATCATATTAATCTACATCAGAGGTATTTCTGTGTGTATGTGCCAGTACTTGGACTTGAACTCAGGACCTCACACTCAGCACTTTTTCTTTCTTTCTTTCTTTTCTTCCTTCCTTCCTTTCTTTTTTTCTTTCTTTGTTGGTCAAGGAGTCTGAACTCTAGGCCTGGGCACTGTCCCTCAGCTCTTCAGCTCAAGGCTAATGCTTTACAACTTAGAGCCACATCACCACTTCCAGCTTTTTCTGCTTATGTGGTGCTGAGGAATCGAACCCAGGGCCTCATGCATGCAAGGCAAGCGCTCTACCGCTAAGCCACCTTCCCAGCCCTTTGCTCAGCTTTCTTGTTTATGGTCAGCATTCTACCACTTGACTTACATCTCTATCATTTTGCTGGTTAATTGGAGATGAGAGTCTTGCACTTTTCTGTCCCAGCTAGCTTCAAACTTCAAACCACTATCCTCTGGGTCTTAGCTTCCTGAGTAGCTAGGATTGCATGTGTGAACTGCCAGTGCTAGGCTTAAAACAGATGTATTTTATCTGTCATGGTATCAAAATATATGACCAGGAAGTCAGCGCAGTCATGTCTGGTGTTTGAAGAATTCAAGCAAGGTGCAATATCAGTGAAATTGGTAGTAAAGTTTATTAGAAAAGATATATAAGGGAAGTAGTGCTGTGGTTCAAGTGGTAGAGCGCTCTCCTTGAGCTATCTGAGTGCAGGGACAGCGCCCACGCCCAGAGTTCAAGCCCCACTACTGACAAAAAAAAAAAAAAGATATATAAGGCTGGGAAGGTGGCTTAGTGGTAGATGTAAATTGCTTGCCAGCATACGTGAAGCCCTGGGTTCGGTTCCTCAGTACCACATCAACAGAAATAGCTGGAAGTGGCGCTGTGTCTCAAGTGGTAGAGCCCTAGCCTTGAGCAAAAGAAGCTCAGGGAAAGTGCCCAGGCCTTGAGTTCAAGCCTCAGGTCTGGGGTGGGGGGGAAGGTGGAGGGGGGCGGAGATATACACTTTCAATAGACTGAAATGAAAATAGGGCATCTCTAGGGTGAGAATGACCTATTCCGTGTTTTTATCAGGAAAGTGTTGCACATTTTGTCAAATGCCTTTTCTATATCAACTCAGATAACATCATTTTTCTCCATTTTATTATTGTTCTACCTATGTTGGACCCCCCCTTTGCATTCCTAACATAAAACCTTGCTGGTTATGTAAAATCCTTTTCATATGCTGCTAGATTCAGTTGCTATTATCTTATTTATTTATTGTTTTGTTGGTTGTGGGGCCTGAACTCTGGGCCTGGGCACTGTCCCTCAGCTCAAGGCAAGCGCTCTACCATTTGAAGCACTTCAGCTTTCTGAGTGGTTTGTTAGAGATAAAGAGTCTCACGGACTTTCCTGCCCAGGCTGGCTTTGAACCACAATCCTCAGATCTCAGCCTCCTGAGTAGCTAGGATTACAGGTGTGAGCCACTAGCACCTGGCTTTTTTTTTAAATAAGTTTTATAGAATAACCAACAGAGCAAATGGAAGATTTTTTATTACTGATGAAACATTTAGACATTAATTAAACATTAGACATTTAAACATTAGGTCTACTTAGATTTCTGTCTCCTTGAGTCAGTGTGTTAGTCTGTATTTCAAAGAACTTATCTATTTTAATTAGGTTATGTAATTTGTTGGCATACATAGTTCATCTTTCTTCTTCTTGTGTCAGTACTGGGGCTTGAACTCAAGATCTCAGCCTTCTGAGTAGTTAGGATTACACGCGTGAGCCACCGGTGCCTGGCTTAATGTCTTTCACATAGCAGGAAGTTTTTTGTTTTAATTTTCCTTTTGGTGATGGAGACTGAACCAAAGGTGAAAGATTTATTTCTAGTACTAGGGCTTCAATTCAGGGTCTGAGCACTGTCCCTTAGCCTTCTTGCTCAAGGCTGGCACTCTACTACTTGAGCCATGGCCCCACTGAGTCTCGAGGACTTTCTTGCCTGGGCTGGCTTCAATTTGTGATCCTCAGATCTCAGCCTCCTGAATAGTTAAGATTCATAGGCATGAGCAACCAGTGTCTGGCTGAGTTTTAATTTTAATAAAAATCCAACTTACTGTTTTTCTCATTGGTTATGATTTGGTGTTATATCTAAACTGTTCTCTTACAGTAGTATTATAGTTTTATATTTGACAGGCCTATGATCCATTTTGAATTAATTTTATGAAAGGTCTGATGTCTAGACTTTTTTTTTTTTTGCATGTTGATGTCTAGTTATTTGGCAAGTTTTTTTGTTTTTTTTT